ATCTTCTTAAGTCTGAAACTGATCAAACAAGCAATCAAGGTGAATGCAATGCAAAATTTGGAAACAAAGAGGAAGGATCATTAATTAGAAAATATGGCTGGAATTATAGAAATGATGCTGGAGATCACATGATAGAACTTGCAAGACCAATGACTGAAAATACCTTTTTGAACAACATAAAAAATGACTTTACACATGGACCTCACATGTGCACAGAAGGAATACACAGAAATCAAACTGACTACATCTGTGGAAAAAGACAGTAGAAGAGCTCCATATTATCAGCCAAAATGTTATAGTATAATTAACAGCCCCCATTTGAATTATTATAGTATAACTAACAGCCCCCATTTGCCATTTGAAATATTATAGCATAGTTTACCCTGCGCTCCCCTTTCCCTCAACCTCACCCAATGGAAAAATAATAAATAAACTTCTTACAGAAAAACCTTGAAGGCCAGAATGACCCAAGGACACCTAACAAACAGGTTAAAACTTAGCCCATCCATACAACCAAGATAAGGGTTTATTGGTGGGTTTACTCCCACTTACAGGATAAGGGTCTGCTGGAATTTACCACCCCAGCTGACAAGACAAATCTGTGTGTTCTAACTGCTCTGTGTTTCTTGTATAAAACCCTGTTCCCCTCCTCACTTCAGGGTGAGAGTGATTTGGGGTTGAGCTGCCACTCTGGCTGCCAGCAATAAACTTTGCTCTTTACTTTAAGTTTTCTCAGTGGAGTTATTTCTGACTCACGCTACCACAACAAAAACATGGCCAGGGCAAACTGCAGGAGAGACCATCAGTTGCTCATATGTAAGTTCAGGCTGAAGGTGAAGAAAACTGAAACAAGTCCATAAGAGCCAAATACAACCTCTTTAAAGTATCAAGAGCAAAGATGTCAGTTTGAGGTCTAAGATGTGCCTGATCTAAGCCATGGTATTTTCATTCACCTCATCTGCATGAGAAAGTTGGACAATGAATAAGAAAAACCAGAGAAGAACTGATGCATTTGAATTGTGATGTTGGCAAAGAATATTCATGGACTGCCAGAAGAACAAACAAATCTGTCTTAGAAGATGTACAACTAGAATGCTCCTTCAAAGTGAGGACGGCAAAGCTTCATCTCTCAAACTTTGGACATAATATCAGGAAGGACTAGTCCTTGGAGAAGAACTTCATACTTGGAGAAGTGGGGGGTTAGTGAAAAAGAGGATAACCCCAACAAGACAGACTGAAACAATGACAACAATGGGCTCAAATGTGCCAACAACTGTGAGGGTGAGTCAGGATGGGGCAGCGTCACTGAGTCACAACCCACCTAACAACATAGTTCATCAACTCTGAAAGGCACTTACTTTCATATTTTAAATCTACCAAATTGAACTGTTAATTGACAGTATCTTAGCATTGGGCCATTTAATTGGCACAAAAACAGCACATCTTACAATATGGCATTTTACATTTGTTGGAATATGATACGGCAACAAATCAGAAAGAACAGGAGCTTAAGAATATAACACTGAAATATCAAATGACTGAATCATGCAGACAAAGTTCCATTCAATTACAGGGCTAATGACAGTGGAAAGAAACTAGAAGTCCAAGACGTGGCTTCTAGTTCCAGCTTGACCACTAATATGCTGTGTGATGTGACTTCAGCTTCCTGGGTCATTGTGTCTTGCTTATACAACAGTGATGATATGCTGTGCCCTTTCCTCCTTTCTGGGTATATGGTAAAACAGCCCTAAGTCACTTTCAGTTGTAGGACCCCTTTTTGCCACCCTAATTAAAATGTATAGATTTGAGTAGTTGATAATACAGAGTCACTATGAACTGGAATCTACTTGACAGCACTTAACAACAACACCCTAAGTAAAGCAGAAAATACTTGATGTTTATCTGTGCTTTATTGACTATGAAAAGGCTTTTTACTGTGTGGATCATGAAAAGATATGGATAACATTACAAAGAATGGGTATTCCAGAACACTTTTTTTGGCTCATGAGGAACCTGCACGTAAATCAAGAGACAGTCGTTTGAAGAAAACAAGGGAACACTGAAAGGCTGTGTTCTTTCGCCATACTTATTCAATCTGTATACTGAGCAAATGATACAAATAAACTAGATTATATGAAGAAGAAAGTGGCAGGACTGGAGGAAGTTTCATTAACAACCTGCGATATGCAAATGATGCAACCTTGCTTGCTGAAAGCGAACAGGACTTAAAATACTGATGAAAAAAGATCAAAGGCCACAAGCCTTCAGTATGGGGGATACACTTCAATGTATAGAAACAAAATTCCTCTCCACTAGACCAATAAATAACATTATGATAAGTAAAGAAAAAATTGAAGTCCTCAGACTGCATTTTGCTTAGATCCATTATCAACATTCAAGAAAACAGCAATCAAGAAATCAAAGGAGTCAAGAGCAAAGATGTCAGCCTGAGGACAAAGGTGCATGTGACCCAAGCCATAGTATTTTCAATAGCCTCATATGCATGTGAAAGTTGGACAATGAATAAGGAAGACTGTAGAAGAATTTGAGTTACCTTGTTGGTAAAAGTACCATGGGCTGCCAGAAGAACAAACAAATCTGTGTTGGAAGAAGTACAGCCAGGATGTACTTAGAAGCCAGGATGGCAAGACTTCATCTCTCATATTTCAGACATATTATAAGGGGGGACTAGTCCCTGGAAAAGGGCATCATGCTTGGTAAAGTGAAGGGTCAGTAAGAAAGAGGAAGCACCCAACAAGATGGATTATCACATTAGTAACAGCAGCAATAGGCCCAAGCGTAGTAACAATTGAAGATGGTGCAGGACCCTGGCAGTGTTTTGTTCTGTTGTTCACAGGGTCACTATGAGAATGAGCTGAATAGATAAAACCTAACAACAACAACACCTTAAGTATCAGGATTGGAGGAAGACTCATTAACAACCTGTAACATGCGGTTGACACAATTTTGCTTGCAGAATGTGATAAGGACTTGAAGCACTTACTGATGAAGATCAAAGACTACAGTCTGCAGGATGGATTACACCTGTCCATTAAGAAGGCAGAAACCCTCACAACTGCACCAATAAGTAGCATTATGATAAATGGAGAAAATAATGACGTTACCAAGGATTTCACTTCACTGGGTCCACAACCCAGAGCCATGCAGGTAGCAGTCAAGGAAACAAATGACTGCATTGGGCAAATCTGCTGCAAAAGATTCTCTGAAGCAAAGATGTCACTTGAAGGAATAAGGTGCCCAGCCCAAGCCTTGGTATTCTTAATCACCTCATTTACATGCAAAAGCAGGGTAATGAATAAGAAAGACTGAAGAAAAGTTGATGCCTTTGAATTCTGTGTGGTGTTGGCAAAGAATATTGACTATACTATGGACTGACAGAAGAATGCCTGTCTTGGGAAAGCAGCCAGAATGTTCCTTAGAAGTGAAGATGGTAAGACTTCATCTCTCATACTTCGGACAGGTTGTCAAGGAAAACCAGTTCCTAAAGAAAAATAAGCTGGGTAAAGTGGAGGGTCAATGAAAAACAGGAAGACCCCCAACAAGATGGACTGACACCTTGGCTCCAACAGTGAGTTCAAACACAGGACGAGGAAGGTGGAAGGATGTTACAGAACCTGCAGGATTTGTGCTGTCATACACGGGGTTGCTATGAGTCAGAAGCAACATGCTGGTGCCTAACAACATCAACCACCTTAAGGAGCTCTGGTAGCATAGTGGTTACAAATCAGGCTGCTAAACTCAAGGCCAACAGTTCAAAACTACCAACTGCTCCGTGGAAGAAAAATGAGGCTTTCTGCTCCCATAAAGATTTACAGCCTCGTAAACTGACTCCGCGGCACATCACCACCACCATCAAGCAACAATATGAATTCTAGTCAATCATATTTCTCAAAATAAAATCCATACAAACAATGATATTGTTGTTAAGTGCTGTCAAGTTGGTTCTGACCCATAGTGACCCTATATAGGGTTTCCAAGGAGCGGCTGGTGACCTTGAGCCGCCAACCTTGCAGTTCAAACCAACTTTGCAGTCGAGTGCACTAACCCGCAGTGCACTCCCACCTACTCAGCACTTCCGCCATTCACCTGTCAATTTGTCGTACTGTAGTTGTTTATGTGTGTTGTTTATGATGCTGGAAACTCTCCCACCAGTATTTCAAATGTTACTCATGGTCACAGGTTTCAGCAAAGCTTCCAGCCTGACTGGGAAGAAAGGCTTGGTGGTCTACTGCTGAGAATTGGCCCGTGAGACCCCTATGGACCACAGCAGAATGGAAGGTGAGTGCTGATGCCGTGCTGGAAGACAAGCCTCCTGGGTTGGAATGCACAATAGCTGAAGCGATGGCTCGAACTCACCACCAGTAATGCAATGGCACAGAACCTGGCACCATTTCCTCCCGTTCTATATGAACCCAGAGTCCTGGGTGCCACCGTAGGATAAACTCCAGATGGCTAACCCCGAGGTCCGCATTTCAAACCCACCAGAGACTCCTCAGAAATCTTAGACAGGGTTGGTAATGACCCTATGAACATCAGAACAAAACTTTCCTGGTCCTGTGCCATCCTCACACTTGTTGCTATGCTTGAGGGCATGAGTCAGAGCCTTCTCAAAGGCAAGTAATGACAACAGTGAGCACCAGCCACCCAACATAAGCATGACTTCCTCTACCCCCACCACAGCCCATTAGGTGGTAGAGCAGCCCCTCTGTTCACATGAGGAAAGTGAGACTCAGGAAGGCTACAGCCCTTGCCTCAAGCTGCACAACTGTTGTTGTTGTTAAGTGCTGTCATGTCGATTCCAACCCATAGCAACCCTGTATAGGGTTTCCAAGGAGCAGCTGGTGAGCTTGAACCACCAACCTTGCAGTTCTAACGACTTTGCAGTCTGATGCATTAGCCCACAGCACCACACCAGGACTCCAAAGTGAGCCAGGGCTAGAACTAGTGCCCCCGGGACTGCAGGGCCAGGCACCTCTTACCTGGCGGCAGCACCTTCATCTCAGTGCTGCGGCTCACTGCCTGGGTCCCGCGGTAGGCGCTGCACGTGTAGGAACCCTCGTCGCTGGCTCCCGTGTTGTAGATTACTAGCGTGCCGTCCGGGGACTGGTGGACACGGTGGCCGTCAGCCCACACAGGCAGCCCATTTCTGCAAGGAAAGGACAGTGGGGTGGCCATCCAGGTCCATGGGCCTGGAGTTGGTGGTCAACCCCTCCCCTCCCTGTGAGGGCAAGCAGCAGATGACCCTTTGCCTCAAGGAAGAGATGGACAGTCTACCGGAAAGAAGCAGGAATGTTAACAAAACACCCACGTGAGGCAAACTCACACCGACTAAGCCCACTGGTCCAGTACTCTTATCCACAGAGGAATCCTCTCATTAACAAAGGTCTTTTAAGCTGTTAAGTACCAGGCCCTGTACAGGGCAAGGAAGCCCTCCCTGCCTTCCGGGCACTGGGTGGGGGGTGGGGGTGCTTGGGGAGCCTTGTCAGAGGTGAAGATGAGTAGGCAGCAGCCGGCTGATGAAGAGAGAGAACCAGGGACTCAGGAGTGAGTGTGAGCCCAGGAGCAAGTGGACACGGGGGCCAGTCAGCAGGGTCTTGGACTCTATCAGGACTTTGGATAGATCATGAGGGCTAGTGAGGGTTTTAGATAAGTTAGAACCAACATGATGAGATTTTGCAAATTCCCCAGAGGGGGCTGGGTCAGCAAGCCTGGGGGAGAGATACATGTTGCGGTGGAGGGCACAGAGCAGAAGGCAGAGGGAGAGAGAGGGCTGTGGGTGAAGGGCAGACGCGGGGAAGGAGAAGGAACCAAGGATGGCAGAGGCTCTGAGCTTGGGTTACTGTGTAACGGTGGTGCCTCCAACACAGGGAAGTTCAGGGTAGGGTTGGGAAGGGTGAGGCTACTGTCCACCATTTTGAATGTGGGGTGCCTATGACACGCCAAGAGAATGGATTTGAAGTCCAGCTAGTGTATCAGCTCTGGGTGGTCCCAGAAACTGCATGTCTACAGGGCTGCCCAAGGGGAAGTTATAGAACAAGCCACCAGGACCTGGAACAGAACCTTGTGAAACACCAACACCTAAGAGACAGGTGGCCAAGAAAACAAACACACGAGGACCCACCAGAGACAGCAGTGTCTGGAGCCCTGTGAGGGAATGTTCCAAGAAGGAGCAAGTGGAAGGCCAAGGAGACCCCAGGGTCACGTAAGGACTGCGGTTGTCCACTGGTGGCCCTGACCAGTCAGTACCCCTGGAGGGGGACGGGGTGGCCTGAGAAGTATGTGAGGGAAGTAGCTGAGGACAATGTATCTAGACAGGGTCAGCAGGGGACTATAGAATGGGGAGTTCTGAGCCTGTTGCTGCTAAAGATCCAGGCGAAGCAAAGTTGAAGAAAGCAACAGCCAGACAGCCAGGGCCCCCGTCAGGAGAGGCTGAGTAGAGCACCAGCTCCCCTCGCCGAAGCCCGTGTCTGCTGGTGTTAGGGTCACAGAAACAGCTAGTGTGTGGCCCTGTCTGGCATGCAGGCCCTTCCCACCCTGCCATAATCTCTCACATACCAACCATGGTGTTTGCTGCTCCCTCCACAGGAATGGCTTTCAAGGCCAGGCTAAAGTCACCTCCCTAGCCAGCCCTGCCTGAACTCCCTACACCGGTCTGGCGGCAGCCCACACTGCTCTCTGAAGATAGCATTTAGGGTCTACCTTGTCTGGAGTGACAAGGATACTGTGTCCTCTCCTGCCCAGGATGTCCTGAGATTCAGATCACCCCAGGATTCCCAGAGCCTACCTAACATTGCAGGGAGGGAGGGATCAAAAATATTTGCTGATTAACAAATAAAGGACCATTTGATCTGGGGTAAAAGACCAATGAAGTTCCCCAAACTGAGTGTAGTCCAGGGGTTCTCATCCTCAGGGAGATTTTGTCCCCAAGGGACATAGGGCTGCCTAGAGACTGTTATAATCATCACAACTTGTGGGGAGAGTACTCCCAGCAGGTAGTGAACCAGGACTGCTGCCAAGCATCCAACAAAGTACAGGCCCCTCCCACAATCCAACTATCAGACTGAGAAACCCCATTCCTAGAGGGCTGTAGGGCTCCTCTGACACCGTATCCAGAGGCTGTAAGCTTTACCTGGACCATCTGATGTTCACACTTTCTCCTGCCACCACACATGACAGCCTGGCAGTGTCCCCTTCCGGCACCGTTACAGTATCCGGCAAGCCCGTGATTGTCAGCTCCCCTGGGCACAAGGGGAGCAATATCAGCCACTGCACCAATCCTGTCACGCCCAGTGCCCCCTGGCCACAAAGACCACTTGCCCTGCTTCCCATGCTCTGCTTGGGACTGTCAGCTTACCCAGGACTCTGAGCTGGACCCACCGCTGGTCTCGGTCCTTCCCGTTGAAAGCAACACAAGCGTAGAAGCCATCATCTTCCACAGTCACGTGGCTGATGACCAGGGAGCCGTCAGGTTGCTGCTGGTGTCTGGGGACAAGCACAGTCAGGTCAGCCGGGTCCAGCCCAAGCGGCAAACATAGCAGAGGGAGCTGGGGGAGGGTCGGAGCTGTCCCTTTTCAGTGGGGTTGGGCCAAAGTCAGTCTACCTTAGGTCCTCTTTTGATTTATTTGAAAACACCTGGCTCTTAGCCTAGAAAATAGACAATCACTTCAAATGTTCCCATAAAAAATAATTCAGGTTTGGAATTCTAGTTTTTGCTATACTCTACTTTGTAGGAACAAACTCGGATTTGACTGTATGTGAAATGTAGGCGTTAAGACTGTTTCTTTGTGTCAAACGGGGTTAAAATAGCCCACCTCTGTGTGGCTGCCTTGTAGGTTTTAGGAGAGAGGACAAGTCTCCTAGTCAGTATGTGGGTTAGGCATTCATCCACAGCCAGAAATGGGCCTGATTCCATTTCCTTCCTCAGCCAGCACCTCTTTTGGCCAGCCTAGGATGGTCGTCTACCAACCACACACTGGGAAACCAAAAATAAACCAAATCTACAGCCATCAAGTCAATTCTCACATACAGTAACCCTATAGACGGTTTTCTAGACTGTCTAGTGATAGAATCCCTCATCCACATGCATAATAAAATGGCTGCGGGCCACACTTTCACGCTCCCTACCAGAACTTCTCTTCCTACTGGAACTTCTCAACCTATCAACTACCTCCACTAATCTCAACCCCTCCTTCCCCCGGCAATACCTCTCTCTCTTTCCTTCCAACCTCTAATAAAGCCTTACACGTGGGTATTTGTGTTCCGGCTCATTCCATCTCACATTTATGGGGCCGAAACCCAGGAGGGACTTTGCCAGGAACCATGATGATCCCCAGCTCTCGGGTTGATCTGCTTCCCGCTGTACCCCCTGAACCTGCCGACCAGACACCCACCCAGGGGCCTTCATCCATTGCCGTTGCTGACTTTTACAGCCACACACCGGTTAACAATCTCAGGGTGAGTGTTTGGGCATGCCTCCCTCTCTCAGGTCCTCTGTGTTGTCAGTCAAGTCTAAGTCCTAGCGCTAGGCCAGACAGACCCTTCTCGGCCCGTGGCCCAGGATTGCTGCTCTCGGGGGACGCCCCGTCAGCTCAATTCCTTTCTCTTCTCTCAGGGGTCTGGAAGAGAGACGAGGACGCTCCTCTCTTTGCCCTTCTCCTCAGAGGCTTCCTGATCCTCACCCTAACTCTCCAGCTCACCATCTAAATCGCCTCACTCCACACCCTTGGGTTGTCCCCTGCGCAATCTTAAGGCACTAGGGCTACAACCTGATATCAAGCCACAGTGCTTACTCTTTCTGTATTCAAGAAAATGGTTCCTAATGGCCGGAGAATGGTGCCTTCAATTTTAACATCCTTCATGACCTTGATAACTTTTGTCAGCACAGTGGCAAATGGCCTGAGGTCCCCTACGTACAGGCTTTCTTTTCTCTCTGTTCTCATCCTTCTCTCTATTGGACTTGCTCCCCTTCTCAAATCCTTCTAGCCCATGAGAAACCACTCCCAGACGCTTCCTCTTTTGACCCATCAGACCATGTCCATCCCCCACTTGCACTCCCCTCTCCACCGCCTACCTCCTCTTCCCTCTCCTTCTCCCCATGGCTCGGTTCCACCACCATCTAGTGGTCAAGCCTCACCTACTCAGCTGAACCCTCCCTCTCCACCACATACTTGGTCCTGAGACCACTCTCATCGATCCCAATACCCGCCACTGCCTGCACCCCTGATGCTATTACACAAGGTAACGGGCAGAGGGCATTGTCTGGGTCCATGTTCCCTTTTCCCTATCTGACCTCTCACAAATCGAAAAGAGGCTAGGAAATGTCTCCTCTGATCCAAACACCTACATCAAAGGAATTTAGATACCTCACTCAATTCTATTACCTCACCTGACATGACCTCTACATCACTCTCACTTCTGACTTCTGACGAGGTGCATGCTATGAGCAACGAAAAGCCAGTGGGAGCTCAGGCAGTTCCCCCAGAAAAATCCCTCTTGGGATTATCAACCAGGCCACGCCAATTGTGGACTTAGAGATCATATGATTCTTTGCCTTGCAGAAGGCTTAAAGAGAACTGCTCATAAAGCAGTCAACTACAGATGAGAAATATCACCCAAAATTCAGACGAAAATCTGGCCCAATTTCTATCATGTCTAATGGTGGCCCTACAAAAATACACCAAACTAGATCCAACATCCCCATGACATAACATATAGGCATAACAGTTATGAACACTCATTTCATCTCTCAGTAGGCCCCAGACATAGACAAGGCGAAATACCTGTTACGGGGTTCCAGACCAAAGAAGGGGTATAATACCCTTTGGGGCACCACCCGGGCCCTGATTCAAATGTAACTGAGAGGGTCATTGGGCAAAAAAACTGCCCTAGCCCTCATCCTCCCCATGGCCCATGCCCTGCTTGCAAACAGGAGGGACATTGGAAGGTTGATTGCTCCTTTCTCCAGAGAGGGAAGGGATCAATAGCTTCAGTCCCACCAAGAGAAGGAGTTTGCTCTACCACAGCTTCTAGGACTGGCCACAGAGGACTGAAGGTGCCCGGGATCGCCGCCCCTACGGAAAAAACTCACAGAGAACCCAGAGTAATGGTCCAGGTTTCAGGTAAGCCAGTCTCTTCTTTTAGACACCAGAGCCACTTACTCAGCTCTATGAGAATACTCAGTGCGGACACACCCTACCCCTACATTAATAGTTGGGGTTGACGGAGTCCCTACTCAGCCCATCATCACAGAACCCCTAGCATGCTCACTTCATGATACCCCATTCACACACGCCTTTCTAGTTCTACCCAAGTGCCCCACACCAATCCTAGGATGAGACATTCTAGCCGAGTTCAAATCCACCCACATATTATACCCTATTAAAACTGCCACGCCTTCCTCAGCCCCTGGCTTGTTCTTGCTGTACGCTGCACCAGATTCCAAGCACTGGCTAAAGACCTCTCTAACCTCAATTTCTCACCCAGTACCCTCCTTCAATATGTGGATGACCTACTTTTTAGGTCTCCACACCACCTCCAACATCTACTCACCCACAAAGCAGTCTCAGACACCTTCACACTTTCAATTATTCCATATGGTTTTCAAAGAAAATCCCAACTTTAAATTAGAATCTTGCCCCCCCCCCGCCCCCCC